TGACTATTTTCTCACTTTAAAAATATTTATTCTTTTCTATGTGTACGTGTATTGTAATTATTATAATTATAATTATTATTGTTATTGTTATTGTTTTTCTGACATCAAAGTCACACCACGTATGTTGATGTCATGCATCACTATGATGTCATTATTCATCATGCATGCGCTATGAGTACTTTAGAGTGCGAGTGAGTGTGACTATTAATAGAGTAAAGTATTAATGTCATTATCAAAACAATAAAACAAGAGAATGAGGAAATAGCAATACACTAGGGGACAGACCATTGATGAATATACTTAAACTAACATTTCCGTGATTTAACACATTTTGATGTAGATGTCACAATGTTATAGCTGTATAAAAATAAAGGGAAATAGAGGACAACTTTAGTTTGCAGAGAAGAAGAAATAAAGCAGAAGAATTAAAGGAAGAGAGAGAGTGGGCAGTATAAAATATGACTGATCATAATCAAACAGTTGCTCAAGAGCCTGAGGAAGGACATGTAAGTGTGCAATTTGAATTATATTCCCTGGCATCTATTGTATGGATTCCTGGTAGCATAGATCTATTGTAGTGTTAGATCTGATCTCTATCTTCAAGATTGTTGCAACAGCAATAGCATTGTGAAGCTGTTGTAGGCCTAGGGGCTATATGGAAACCAAAAGTTGATGAAACCAGGATATGATAAATATATGTAGCATAATAGAAAAACCAGGCTATATGCACATAGCCATGCAGGCTGCTAAGAAGTAGACTGGCTAGCTAGCCTGGTTTTTAGCATAGCATACTAGTAGAAACCAGGCTGTATGTACATATTAAACCATGCTATATAGCACATGATAGCCATGGACACACAATAATAGTCTCTCTCTCTCTCTCTCTCTTCCTCATTCCCTACTCTCAGGATGATGAAAGGACAGAGCTAGTGTTCCCATTGGAAAGGCTCCACATAAGGACATCACAGCTGCTAAATAACGCAGACCAAAGGATGACAGAAATATTGAGAAAGATGACAGACGAAAGAATTGAGAAGATGAGTATAGAGCAAGAAGAGCTAAAAGAAGAAATAAAAAAGATCCAAGAAGAATTGAGGGAAGCAAATAAAAATGTTAAAGAAATAACAGAACTGAAGAGGAGAGTAGATGACCATGACAAGAGACTGAGGGTCGTAGAAAGTAAAGTGCCAGTTGGAAGAAGAAACCCATCAGCAGAGAGTGACGTGGGATATGGGGGCAGTAGAGATAACAGCTCGAGTAACCTAGAGCTTCCAGTACAAAATCCACCTGTATCCCTCCTTGGGCCAAATGATGATGATCAAGCAAAATAAATAAATTTATATATTTGATATACTGTATACTTCTTCCCTTAACTCTCTCTGACAATAATGTATGTATCTGTCTTTCACCTATCTTTCTGTATCTGCTGGAGTTCTCTTAATCAATTATATTCTCTCTCCCTCTTTTCCAATCTCTATCCTGAATTCTTCTCAATGCAACAAATGTGATTATGATGATTTGTAATCATAATATTATCGTCTTTATGTTAATTATTGTTATTGAAATATACCTCAATCGCAAATATGTTGAGCTATTTTGCTGAGAAGGGAATCTATGGAATTAACTCTACGTGAAAACTCGTCAATGTTTCCCAAATTATGACAAATTCTTATATAACATATGTACCTAAATGCCACTCCTTTGTACTTACAGTAGTAGAGTTTACTTAACATGAGTAAACCCTAATTAGGAGCTAGTGGTTAGCGTGATCGAAACATAAACTATGAAATGGACCATGAATTGCACAACCTCCTTTATGTTATACGTACATAATGTGCACGTGTGCATGTATAATATGTATTAGATTATCTTAAAGCCACTATTATTTGCGAGTACTAATTTTTTTGCGTTTTTTGTGAGTGGCTTTAAAATCGCAAGAATTAGTACTCACATTTATTAATAATTTAGGTTTATTAATAGTTATTAATTGGAAAAAAAAATTAGTACATGCTAAATCAGTACCATTAACAAACCACAAATACAGTATTTGTCTACTTAAAAATAAGTGGCCTTAAGGTATCTTATATCTTTGTATGGTTTCTTTGCGTAGACGATACTTCCCAATTATTTAGGATGGGGTAATTAGTGGGTGGTTTAGTTAAGTATTGTCATTAAAACTATTAGCATAAACACATGAGAGAAGACAGTACAATAACACAGAGTGCATGATGTGATGTGACTGATGTCATATGATGTCTTCATTAAAATAATCCCTTCCAGCCCTTGAAAACCACAAAGACACTTTATGATAGTATACAGCATCATTGGAATGAGGATGTTATGAATGTTTATTAAAAATAGAACAGCCAAATAAGGATAGTATGTCTAAAATCTATATGTCCCTCCCTATGTTTCCAGGAACTACATGTAGATGATAAAAAACAGGATATAATAATTATGCATATAAAGTACAATAATACTGTTCTATTTTTAGTAACATAATACACCCCAGTCTTATTAAATCATTACTACATTTGAATGGTGTGAAACCAACAACATTATAAACATCGTGATAGATTAGTTCATAATATATAATAGTTCCAGTAATACCGGTCAAGATAATTAGGTCCTAAGCAAAGGAGCTTGTTTTCCCGGTATAGCAAGGCTACAAAAGTCCTGGCAGCCATTTTGAAGTGGAGTGAATCCTACTTAGTAATGCTACTGTGTTATTAATAAGTTATCTAATAGCATTATACTAACAGTATTATAAATTCTATTGCTAATACTGTACAGCATATTTATAATAAGGGCAGTCCTAACTACATAGGGAGGATTCATCTGAAGTGTAAATTAAGTGACATATACATCACATTATAATATATAATTATGTTACCATTATATTTTATGCTTACGTAGCAGGGCTCGTGTGAAGTAAACTACCCGCTAATCGTTGTAATTGTTTGTGGTATGAAAAATATTTTAATTTCAAATTGCGTACAGCTGCTACATAATTACTGGCATACTATAATATATCACACACACACACACACACACACACACACACACAGCACTGTTGCTGTAGGCCTACTAGCTCAGCCTACTTCCTGCATGCCTCTACCAGATAGTAGTACTTAAAGGGTTAGCTAAGCAGGGCAGCTGCATGTCTGTCTATATAGTAGCATTACTGGAGAAACAGTATTTACTATTTACTTATTATTTTACTGGAGAAACTGTCAATGGCCAATGCTCAGAAGTCACCAACAGAGAGAACAGTAAGTTTACAATAATAACCATTAAACCAATGGTACCCTCATAATCTCTCTCTTCCATAGCCTCCCATTACTACTGAATGCCATGAAGAAATAGGACATAATGGAAGAGAAGAGTTAGTAACCAGTCAGATATATACAGGAACTAGAAGGAGGCAGCAGCAGCAATATTTAGAAGACATCAAAGAGAAAACTGTTCAAAAGCTCTTGCCTCAAGTGACTGGCACTCCAACAGCTAGTACAGGGACAATAGCAGCTGCTACAGGGAAGAGTGCTGAGATTGAAACTGAAGTTATGAAAAAATTGTTTGATCTGCCATCATTCAAGCAGATACCAAAAGAAATCAGAGAGAGAATGA